TAACTTTAGAAAAAATGAATAGATTTTAAGATGCATTGAAACACCATGATTTAGCTATTTTGAAATACCCTGAAAATGCAGAATATTATCGTGGAAAAGGTATAACTAACTTCATATAATTTAATAGCGGATACTCTAAGATAAATGAATAGATATCAAGAAGCCATTGAATATTATAATTTAGCTATTTAAAAAAATCCAAAAACTTCCATGTATTTTAATAACAAAGGTAATGAAATTTTTTTAACTTCTTAGCTTTTACTCTATATAAAATGAATAGAATCGAAGAATCATTGGAATAATTTGATTAAGCAATTTATTAAGACCCTGAAGATTCTAATTATTATCATAATAAAGGTAGCTTTAATTAGCATAATTGTCAGGCTATTCATTAATTTTATTGAAAAGATTTGAGGAATCATTGAAATATTTGGATTTAGCTATTAATAGAAACCCTGAAAATCCAAAAAATTATCATAGCAAAGGTTGAATTAACTTTTACTTTAGCGCTAACTTTAGAAAAAATGAATAGATTTGAAGAGGCATTGGAATACTACGATTCAGCTATTCAGAAAAACCCAGAAATACCAGACCATTATAATGACAAAGGTAAAATTTATGTTACATACTTTTTAGCTAATACTTTACATAAAATGGATAGATTTAAAGAAGCATTGAAAAATTTTGACTATGCTATTTAGAAAAACCCTGAAAATCCTCTTTATTATCGGAACAAAGGTATAATTAAAACTACATAATTTCTAGCTGTGACTTTGGAAGCAATGAATAGATTTGTAGAAGCTTTGGAATATTATGATTCAGCTATTTCCATATACCCTGAAAATGCAGACTATTATAATGGCAAAGGTATTATAAATTTGACAAAATTTTTAGCAAATACTTTACTAAGAATGAATAAATTCGAAGAAGCATTGGAATACTATGATTCAGCTATTTCCAAAAATCCTGAAAATCCAGACTATTATAATGGCAAAGGTATTATAAATTTGACAAAATTTATAGCAAATACTTTACTAAGAATGAATAAATTTGAAGAAGCATTGGAATACTATGATTCAGCTATTTCAAAAAACCCAGAAAATGCAGTTTATTATAACAACAAATGTAAATTGAAATTATAAATATGAGCTTATCCATTATATTAATTAAATAGATTGGATGAATCATTAGAATAATATGAGTTAGCAATTCAGAAAAATTGTGAAAATCCAAACTATTTTTATGGAAAAGGTCTATTAAATTAGCATAATTTTCTAGCTAATACTTTACTAAGAATGAATAAATTTGAAGAAGCATTGGAATAATACGATTCAGCTATTTCCAAAAACCCAGAAAATGCAGACTATTATAATGGCAAAGGTATTATAAAAAATTTGACAAAATTTATAGCAAATACTTTACTAAGAATGAATAAATTTGAAGAAGCATTGGAATACTATGATTCAGCTATTTCCAAATACCATGAAAATGCAGACTATTATATTAACAAAGGTAAATTGAAATTATTATATTTGTTAGCTTATTTATTATATCAAATGAATAGATTTGAAGAATCATCTCAATAATGTGATTTAGCAATTTAGAAAAACCCTGAGAATTCTAACTATTATGCTTGGAAAGGTAGAAGCATATGTATAAATTCTTAGCTAATTCATTAATTAAAATGAATTGCTTAGAAGTAGCATTGAAATATTATAATCTAGCAATTTAAAAAAACCCAAACAATTCAAGCCTTTATTATGGCAAAGGTGAATTACATTGTTTATATTTGCTTAGCTAATACTTTACTAAATATGAATAAATTTCAAGAAGGTTTGGAATAATATGATTTAGCTATTGCAAAAAATTCAGAAAATTCGGATTATTATAATAACAAAGGTAAATTGAAATTATTATATTTGTTAGCTTATTCACTATATAAATTGAATAGATTTGAAGAATCATTAGAACAATATGATTTAGCAATTCAGAAAAACCCAGAAAATTCAAATTATTACAATTTGAAAGGTATAAGCAAATTTGTATAATTTCTTAGCTAATTCATTAATTAAAATGAATTTCTTTGAAGTAGCATTGAAATATTATAACCTAGCAATTTAAAAAAACCCTAACAATTCAAGCCTTTATTTTGGCAAAGGTGAATTAAATTTTTTATCTTTGCTTAGCCAATACTTTATATAGAATGAATAGATTTGAAGAGTCATTGGAATAATATGATTTAGCAGTTTAGAAAAACTCTAAAGATTCTGATTATTACAATAACAAAGGTAAACTTAAATTAGCATAATTGTTTAGCTTATTCATTATAATAATTGAATAGATTTGAAGAATCATAGAAATATTAAGATTTTACAATTCAGAAAAACTCTGAAATTTCAAAATACTATTATGGCAAAGGTATATTTAAATTGTGATAATTGCTTAGCCAATGCTTTACAAAGAATGAATAAATTTGAAGAAGCATTGTAATAGTGTGATTCAGCTATTTCAAAAAACCCAGAAAATTCAGATTATTATAATAACAAAGGTAATTGAAACTATTATAATTGTTTAGCTTATTTATTATATTAATTGAATAGATATGAAGAATCATTAAGATAATATGATTTAGCAATTCAGAAAAACTCTAAAGATTCTGATTATTACAATAACAAAGGTAAACTTAAATTAGCATAATTGTTTAGCTTATTCATTATATTATTTGAATAGATATGAAGAATCATTAAAATTATATTACTTAGCTATTTAGAAAAACCCTAAAAATATAAATTAGTGTTATAGCAAACGTATAATTGAATCTCCATCACTTGTTATTTAAGATCTTCTTTAAAAGTTGTTGTTTATCAATTTATTTTTAGTTAGAATGCATAGATATGAGAAATAGTAAAAACGCTAGGCTTTAGAGATAAAATGAAAATCTCACAGCAACATTATTTTTAATTTCAAAATCAAATAATATTTAAATAATCTTATATTCTGAAATGATTATTAAACGTCTCAGTAAAACCTTACTTGTTTCTTCAATATTTGCATTTCTATTATCTTTAATTTTCATTTTTTCAATTTTTATTTAATACATATCCCCATGTAAAGTAGTAGGTACACGCAAAGGCTACAAATTACATTCTCTACAGAAAGACTTTCAAATACTGGCTGGATTAGTAGCTCTTGTATGCTATATTTTGTTTAACTTATTTCTCTAAGTCTTAGAACCTTTTTAGGTATCTACCAAGTTGATTGAACAGCCTGACAAGATATGGAAACTATTGTCGCAATAATTAAATTTTAACCTTTCATATTTCAGAATATATGAATTCTTATCAATTATTCATTAATAACAATAGAATATTTTAAACTTTTATCAAAACAAGTGATTAGTTTGAAAGAGCATTTTGGTTTCTGGATGCATTGCAGTATACCCCTGGAAATTGATTTTTCAAAACTATTTTAAGTTCAAGTTGTTATAAACTGTAAGGATGATAAACAATACGAATATTCAAAATCATTTATATAGTATAGCCTAATTTGTCACTAGATTAATTAGAGTGCTTTGGAGAATTTATGTACTGTTAGTTTCTACTGAATTAGATAATAATAGTCAATTATAGTGTAAAATGAGAATATGAGAATTCATTATTTTAGAATTTTTCATAAAATTAATATTCTATTCATTTTGGATTATAAAATTTATCATAACATATTTTATTATTGATTTAACACATATAATTATAAATAATCATTATTCATTAAATCTGCATCAGTTTCAACATCTAATCCATTAAATTGATAATTTTTTTTCTAATCTTTTCTTGATTATTTCTGTTATGTGATTTACTTTTGTATAGGGCAACTAATTCTGATAGGAGAAGTAAATGGGTTAAAATGAGGTTGGAATTAAACGGCAGTTATGAATTCTCCTGATTAAATAGCTTGTTTAGATAATCTTATAGATATATATTAATTTCTAAAAAGGGTTGGGGTT